AACGACGCCGTCTTTCTCTCCCGTCATACCGCTGACAAGGGTACATAGCTGTGCGCTATCGGTAGACACACCCTGGGTCAGGGTTGGCGCCCTTCGTCTGCAGATAACATACGGCTTCGCCGTCTCCTCTCTACAAAGGTTTTACGTCTCATCAAGACCAGTGGGAACTTGCACTCAGCGCCGTTCGGTGTCCCCAATCCCTGCCCCATCAGAGTCTTGATGTTATTGACAACATTCGACGAAGAACTGCTGATTCCGCAGGCTTCGTAAAGTGGATAACATGCCACTCCGCGCTCATCAAGAGGTCCTTGCCCAAGCTACCTCAGATCTCGACCGACCATGCCACCTTGGCACACAGCAACTGCTTCAAAACGTGAACAGTGCTCAGTGGGTTACGTGCCACTCCACGTGCATAACTAGGGCCTCGCGGTTGATGGCTCGGCTCTTGGCCGGCCATGCGACTCCTAGCATACAGCAACGGCTACGATACTTGAGCAGTGCTCAACGGGTTACGTGCCACCCCACGCTCAGCCCGTGAGCCATTCCCTGGACTCTTGTCCAAATCACCTTTGGTGTTTGACAACTCGGATACTCCTATATCCAGCACATTGACCGTTCCATCCCAGTGCCCGCGCTAAAAGTGCTTCTGCTTCCTAGCAGAGTTGTTTTCATGCTTCTCCAAGTCTCCATCAGAAGACGTGCGCGTAGCGCCCAAGGTCTTCGATCTCCATTCAATCCATGACTCATAGTGTCCCAACCATGCTCTAGCAAGGATAAGATCATATCTTGCATCCAAGTCTAAGACTAAGCAGCTTCCAAGCTATCAAAGTCAAGAAACCTGAAACCGAGGTCCATAGGGACCCTCTACACAGTGACACAAGACCCCGTCGTCAAGCGAACAGAGACGGTTTCGCTCAACCGCACTTTTAGAGCCTTAGCATACAGCTTACCTTCTTCCATTGTGGAGCGTCGAGTATAATTGCCCGACACCCCGAAATCGATAGGGATATTTCATGGCGTTTTAAAGCCCTTCACGGTCGCTTCCACAACCAGCAAGCCCGGCTTCCATACACGTTCCGTGTTCAAGAGCACGGAGATCTTCGGGGCTGGGCCCTGCTGCCCACTACCCCTTTAAGGCACAACAGAACTCAGTTCTTTTCCCCGAGTCTACTGGGTTTTCATGTTTTCCCGCGACGAACCGGCCTGGATAGAAGCGTGACATCGGTTTGATGAACCTTGATGCGCCTTGCACAGAGGATAACCAGTCCAAAGAAGACGGGTGTCTCCATAGACAAAAAAACGTCAGGGCTCGATCGCTGTCCGGTAGATCGGAGCTCTGCCTACTCTTTCTCAGCATAGCTGAGATCCATCGGCTCAGTCTCGCTCGACGAGCTGCTTGAGTTTGCGCTCCAACCAAGTCGTGTCGACTAAAGTTGAAATCAGCATTTTAATGCCACATTCATCACTTCTTCAAAAGAAGACGGATGCACACGGAAAACTTCAATTCTGGTCACGCAAGTGCAGAGGCTCTCCATAATGAAGGTCACCGTGACCTCAGGGAGAGGATCGGCTGCCACACCGACAATGAGAGTTCTCAACTCTTGGACATAGTTCACCTACTCCTTCTTGCCCTATCGGGTGGTAAGGAAAAGCGATCGCATGCGATTTGCCAGGATAGGCGGCAAGAACACTCGCAAAAGCTGACGCTTCAGCTCCTTCCTGAGACTAAACGCTCCAACCAAAGCACTGCATTTTAGTGTCTATTCTCGCGCTCGTCCCCCGAGCTTGAAGATAGCTAGCGCCACGCGCTGCTGCTCGTTTTGGAGCGTGGCGGATGCCGTAGTTATCTTGGCCACTCTTACTCAGAGCAGGAGGTTCTCTCCATCGTTCCCCTCGAAGGTCTCAACGCTTGCCATGAGCGGCCTGGGCTGGGAGGAGTCATCCGCTTCCAACGGTGGAGTCATGGACGAGTCGACGCTGAAAGCTTCTACTGTAGGTGATTTAAAGGAGCATTTTCATATTTAAAAAAAGCCCTTGGCGCGCGCTTATCGCCTCTTACTTTGCAAAAGAAGGTAACCCACGCTCTCTCTGGGACATCAGCTTATTAATTTCGTCTTGCATGCCCTGGAGTATCGCTTTATCCTCACAGGTGATCATTCGTTACGACTCAAGTGTAGATTGATTTCGAGTGCTACCAAGTGCGGCGGGGCTGCCGTAGCTTTTTGCTTAGAGGAAGCTAAGCTAAGGTCACCGAACTTACCTTCTTTGCAAGAACTGTTACGAGTGTAGCGGATCGCATCCGCAACCTTCAGAGTACTTAAAACCTTAAGCAAAGTAAAGGCGCTCTTCCGTCCAAAATTACTTCTGTATTCAATTGGTTTAGTTGCGACAGAGCCGCCAACATCTAAAACGCTAGGTTTTCCTGATTAATTTAGTAATACCTGATAAATATAGTAGAACCTTATTAACATGCATTACTACTAGCAGTCCTACCACCTTGTTACGATGTAGCCACACCACTGTGTGATTACACTAATTTGTGTAGTCCATACCTATGTACGGTCACACCATCCTTTCTTTTATACAGGGGTACGTGTAACCCCGTTACACAGGTTGTAAAAGTATATAGATGTGACACGATTATGTCACAGCACATTTGAGCTGAGGTGATTTAATGACAACAACAGATTGGGAATGTGGCCTGTACTTTTCAATGTAAATCTTGCAACATAAATTCAATTTCGTCTCAGTATCCGCGGTAAACCCAATAAGCAGATCAATTGCACACAAAACACATTGTCGACAGTAATCCCACCAAACTGGCATAGCATAGCGCAAATATCATGCCAACAGAGGCCGCAAGAATTGTCTTATACAATACAATTCTTCATGTCAGACACGCTTCACCGCGACCTACATCCAGCCTGTCGCCAACTCAAACACTTTGTGAAACGGCAGTATATATGTCTCCATCTAGCATCTCGTTCTACAAGCTGACTTGATGTAGAGTTGCTTGGCCTTTAGCTTCATACTGTAAGAACGCATAAATGGTACCAGAGCTTGTCATAGTTTAGTAGGTTTGGTTATAATCGATTCGACACAGGAGCAACCAAGCGGTTTTTTTTAGCGAAAGATGTCATCGAGCTTCTCCTCAGAAACTCATATGAAGCCAACAACTCTCACAACGCAGAAGCCAAAGCAAATTCGACCCAAATATCTTTTCAATATCGTCTCTATGCACTGTTTGGCTTGGAGTGATGCCATTTTTTCTGCTTAGATATTAGGCACTGCTGTAGCTGTTAGTGCAATCTTTTACTTATCCTGTCGAGGGCGCTTAGGATCCGGTTTGTCGATCTCATCACCATGTGGCGGACTCACACCTAGCAGATTGGGATGGAGCGAAACATGATCCTTTTCATCTTAATATGTTAAGTGATCGAGATTGTTCTAGAACAAATTTCTCGCCCAGGTCATGATCCACCGCTAACATTCATGTGTATATTAAGTGTTTGGCGCTTACTTGACCTTCAATATCGCATATGGGGCAGACACGATCACAAATGACAGTTTTAGCTTTGGGTTCTGGACGAGATTTCGAAATATTCAAAGAAAATGGGCTTGACGTGTTGATCATCTCAAACCCGGTATTTCTTCGAGCAATCTGTGTATTTCAAAAAGATGCAACGGGGGCGACCTCGCATCCGTCGACCTTGCATACTCGTGACGAGTTGCACATACAACTTAAACACTTGAAAAGGTCCAAACAAATACTGAGTTGATGAGATTTTAGAGCATAAGCCTGAAACCCAGTCCCATGTGTAGATGTGCCTTTGAGATAGTTCAGGACGCGCACTGCGTACGCAAGTCGAAGCCGATGCCTCGCCTGTTGCTACTAGGTCAGAAGAGCGGGATCAACGATGTGCAAACTGAGGGGGTGTTGTGATGCCACATCATAGAATTGTGTACGGTGCACAAAAGCAAATTGCAAGTTGAAATGGAATCTTCTCAAAGACCAAGTTTACAAGATGCTCTAGAAGAAGCGTTAGTGGTTTGAAGCAAGTTAGGCTTCTGGCCTTTAAATTACTCTCCATTCTGCGCTGCAAGTAACAAGACATCGTTAAAGTATCTGCCATAATCATATCAAAGTAGAATGAAAAATCTAGTCGCGCATCCAAGAAAGTCAATTGTACGATCTCCCGCCCAGTGAGTAATCTCTGTCACAGGGTAAAAGCAGCTATTGAGGTCGCTGGCACCCCAAAAAATGCGCTGAAACAGCCTCTATTTTCTACTTAAAGTCACATGAGTATTATACGAAGTATAATATACTTATTGATCAAAGGGATAATCGTGATCTACAAAACGATCATCCGGTTGTCACGGTTTCCATACTATCAAGCACATCATGAATTCGTATCCATATCAGCGTACCTGGTCGATCATTTACATAAAGCACGATATCCACCAAAATCTTGCCGCTCTTACTCGGACGTACAAATAGGCAAGGGTCAGCATGGTTGTACAAAGCCTATGTCAACAATTGCAGCACGAATCGTCTTAGACCATACAGTCGAGGCTTGCGGAAGGTTAACCGCAGCCTTTATACCAGCTTTTGATACAAGCTGTCTTAATAATAAAAAAATTCTGGGCTGTCAAACACTGGCAGCTTCATATTGCTAGGAGCGCAAAGGGATTTTGGCTTGCCTTTGTATGGCAGGTATTGTAGTAATCGACCTGTCGCATATGTGGGCACCCAAGTGACATCAAGCACGGTGTTTGGCTTTCTGTATTGCTGCTTTCATCGAGCCTCTGTTCAAATACCCACTGGCAGCGCCTACCCTTAGCATTACGCGGATGCTGAGCAAATCTCGCATTTGATTGTTGATGTGAGTCCGACGTTGTTTATTGATAAATGTCATGCGATATATAACAAATCGATAGCTAAGACGCCGCTCAATACATTCGACGAAGGATATAATCATTTTACAGACTTTTTCTACGTTTGTTCGTTCAGAAAAAAATCCAAACCATCAAATGGTAAAGTTATGGCTTCATCACATGTCAAGTTTTATTTTCACATTTTTAAATAATTTACTATGAATTTCTAGCCAGATACAGTATCAAGTGTTTTCATGATGATTAACAGGCCAGATCGTCTAATTTTTATGGCAGATTTGTTGGTATGGATTAAATTACGCAAAGACGAAGGTCAGAGCGGTTCGTTGGTTGAAGATCACTGACTTGCCTGCAAACATGACCATAACTCCTGAAAACCAACGTCTGTCATCGTTATTACCACTCCTATCAGCATCTAGATAAGGCTTAACCACAAAGTCACCACCGCTTTGGTAGACAAATCCTGTAAGGTGTGTAATTTTCAAATAGTGTAGTACGCTAAAAGGCCGTTTCATTGCATTGCATTGTCGTAGCCTGCTGTTCTCTAGGAAACAGGTCAGCTGTGCTATCACGTATGCAGCACCGATATGTGCTGCAACCGACGGTGCCGCACATTTGCGAGGTGCTTGCATTTGTGCATCTAACTATTTTCCAGCAGGTGACCGTCGCGGTCTCTGTAACTGATTGTATTGCGTCCGCAACAGCGAATAAATGTACGTTTCTAATCATACGTATTCTTGCAGTCGCACGCTGAGTGACGAAGACTGAGAAATTCACTGCGGGTTGATGTACATGAAAACACGATTTTGACCATCATACATTACTCGGAACCCCGATTCGAATCACAGAGATATTGTGTAAAGGAGTTCGCGTACCACGGCATCAAAACCGATGCACGGAGTATCTGTCGTCAAAGTCGTGATGCACAGGGTGATCGTCGTATGACCGTACTGTAACGCAAATTTCAGCCAACACTCTAGCACTCACGTTCTTGGGGTAAACTAAGCGCAGGACAACGATCTGCGAGTTATAAATGCAGCAAATATCCGCCTCGTTCTGCAGTCGGTTTACCTCCGCAACCAGACCTTGATACCTGATACTAACTTGTAGCACGCTGTGAATGAAGTGATACTCGGCTTTTGTCGTCAAGAGCTTAGTAAAATTCCATACGACCGATAGCCAACGTGATGGAGATGGAAAGCCTAAATGACATATCGTTCATCTGACGCAATTTTTTTTAAAGAAGAACAGCCACTTGAGATGCATCAAAATATAAAAACCGTGTTCTGTTCTACGTTGTCGACGACGGGCGTTGGTGTCCATCACGACGGGTGTTTCCAGGCACTATCTCGAATCATAGTGCTGGGGTGATCAAATCAAGAACTAGAGCTAGTGCACCAGCTCGAGAGAGATGGGCTTCACTTTTGATTGAGCTCCCAGGCGTTCTTCGTCGCTGTCCATCCTGACTGAAGAGGTACGTCTTACCTTGGGCGCCGGAGACGGAACCACCATTTTAAATTGTTAGCGTCGGTCACTATCGCGGAGAATCACGCCCCGGTCGCGAATGTGTTGCTATGTATCGCATTGCGTTCTGACATGAGCTATCGTTGGCTTGGTGCCGCATTTTGCTGATGCCGCTATCGGTGATGTCTCGACTTCAAATCCATTTGCGGACTTTTGGAAGCTGACACTCACAGGTGTTGTATTGATCGCTTTTTCGCCAACAATGTATGCATGTAAATCTCCTATATCCGGTGGTACACTTGTCAGTGCGGAGATCTGAGATGATGTCATCAAGTTGTGCGCTGCTTCTGCCGTTAAGTAAGCTATGGATTGATTTGAAGATCCAGTTTCGGCCAAGCATATCGACCCCGACATTTTTTGCACCGCCCTTCGAGTCATTTGCGCTTTTTGGCGGCGTTTGTCGTCTTGTGAAGCGACCTCAGGACTTGGTTCTGCCCCAGTTGGGTTGTTCTTACATTTGCTACAACCATTACTTCCATAAGTGTCACCTGACGGAGGACCTCGGTCCACGGGAAGCGTGGAAGCTATATTCGTTGTCGGTGGTTGTGCCAAGGGCGTGGACCATCTGTGCGCACCCCTGCCGCCATTGCGAGCGGCAGAAAAATTCCCAGCACACCATGGCACTCGTGCTGAACATATCTTTGTTAGATGACAAATCCTAACACCGTCTGCAACGCTCAGTGCCTCCATGATACCGTTCTTGTACTTGATGACCCTTAATTGGTTCATCAGACCCTTCCTCGCCAGAGTCAATCTCACAATAAACTCTCACTGGTAATAGTGACCACTCCACTTTGGTGCGCTTGTTTGCCAACATGGGCCTGGACGATATATTGAAGGAAGAATTGGATGCAGCTTTTAACCTGTTAGTTTATTGGTATGTTGAGATGACGCCGGTCGATTCTGTTGAAAAAACATATTGCAGATCAAGGTCTATTTTACATGCATACGTAATACATCTTCAAACACAAACTCTTATTAGCCTAGTGCTTAGGTTTACATTTATGATTATGGGTTCAATCCATTGAGTATAAAGCATAATAATATTATTGAGTTACGATCTGATCTGTAAACCATAAAAAATACGAGGGGGCGCAGGTAATGGATACGTACCCGACAGTAAGCTCACAGCACTGTCTAATTTACCTTTACCCCTTTTAAGAGTTTTGCCATTCAGTCATGAAAGTGGAGCCACCACACCTGAGCAGTTATTTAGCACTGACCCGTTGAACCAGTGGTCACTGGAATAATGTCTATCACGACTCCTGTACTAACCGGGAATCTGTGATAATAAGGAAGACAAATTGTGCGTCTGCATAAGTCGGTCAGCTCATTATAAATAAAAGACTCGATAAAACACAATCACTAACTCCAGCTTGAATAACAATCTGAGCGCTTCGCACGATAAAAACTAGCCTAAATCAGACTACTTAAGATCAAGATTTTAGGCAACCTTCATGATGAAAAGGAGCCTTGCGAGAATATAGCAGTGTATAATCTTAGTCAAAATAAGC